CCCCCGGCTGACCCTGGGCTCTGGCTCCGTGGCTCACCGTCGGGCGCCGCCCCTCCCCTGGTCCCGGGTCCCGGGCTGTCTCGCTGTCCACCTGCGCCGTACCCTGTGTGAACGCCCCCCCCCCCTCTCTATCATCCACCCGGAGCCACCGTCACTTTCTTGCCCCGGGCGCTCTCTCGGCACACTTCCCAGCAAGCAAGCACACCCCCCCCCCCCCCCCCCCCTCCGAGCACAGCTACCATGGGATGCCGAAAGTCTATGGATGTTTATTGCAACCGTGTGCATGCACATGCCGGGACATACACACACACATACGGTGATCAAAAAGGGGAGGAAGGGGCGAGGGGAGGGAGAGACCTCACGCCGCGCAAGGCGGGTCACTCACCAGGAGGACCGAGAGAGGGGAGAAAAGGGGGCTAATGTACAGAGAGGCGCGCCCCCGCCCCAGCCGGTCTCCCCTTTGGGAGATATGCTGCCAGGGGTGGTGGCCTTGCGCCTCGCGTCTCCTCCCCCCCTGTTTGGTTGGAGGAGAGCAACGAGGCGCCAGACAAGTCGGCCGCAGCACAGGCCAAGGCCGCGCGGCGATCCAGCGCCGAGCGACCAGGGGAGACATCATGTGCGACGGCGCGCGCGCGCACACACACACACACACACACACACCCGGACTCAGTTGTGGCGGAAGTACTTCATGCCGAGCCAGTTGAGGAAGACAAACACCACAATGGAGGGCATCAGCAGCGGCAGCAGCGCCCCATAGTACCGGTCCTTACGGACCCAGCTGAGCAGCTGTGCCAGAGGCGGACCAGGAAGGCAGGCCCCAGGAGCGGGTTAGAAACCGGCAGAATGCAGGCGGGCAGCGGGGAGAGGGAGCATCTCCAGGACCGGGCCGGTTGTGTGGCAGGGGACGCACCTCATCGTCCGATGGCGGCAGGAGCTTCGAGATGAAGATCCAGTGGATGCCGATGCAAAAGACCGCGATCGACATGGTGAAAAGGATGAGCGCACGCAGGAAGCTCGGCACCACCACTGGCACATACTTCTGCTGGCGGTGCTGCTGCTGCTGCTGCTGCTGCTGCTGCTGGGGTGTCGACATCGGCACCGGGGTCAGGGTGCTCGGGTGGGCAGCCGCATTGAGGGCGATGCTTGCATGGTACTGGGCAGCTGCGCTGCCAGCCGGGTAGCTGCGTGGGGTCTCCATGGTGTAGACGCGCGTGCGGGTGCAGGTGTGCTGTTGGAGGAGCAGGCGCCGGGGCGGAGGGGGACAGAGAGAGGGAGGGGGGGGGGGAGGGGCGGACTAGGCGGCGGACGTGTGGAGGGGTGCCTGGCCCATCGCTCGTGGGCACACCCCCGGCGGAGGGGGGCTCTTATATTCCGCGGACCGGGGGAAGCCGGGCGGGGAGTTTCACCCGGGGCCGGGAACCAGCGGCAGGGGGATGGGCACGGTTTCACTGGGCACACCTGCACCCGCACGCACGTACATCAGCCCCGGACAGGGGGCGCGAGGGACCCGGGGGGGCACACGATCGGGAGGCCTCCTCCGGGGGCCGGAGGGGTCGGGGCAGATCTGCCTCCAGCCCCGGAGGTCGATCTGCCCGGGGTAAACACGCGCGGACAGACGCCCGCGGCTGCACGGCATTCGTGCAAGCCTCGCGGCCAGTGCGGAGATCCCGCCCACTTGTCCTAGGCCGGGGGGCGGGGGGACCGAGGGGGGGGGGGGCAGATAACAGGGGGCGGGTCGGGGCGGAAATAACACAGGCCGAGTACAGCACCTGCCCCAGGTCCCCCCCCCCCACCTACGGGACAGGGCGGCCCAGCTCGGATGTTCGTACCGGCCGCGGGATCCGGGTGGGACAGGTTGAAATCGCTGGCCCCTCGGTCATTCCTCCGGCCGGGGAGCCTCGTTCCGGCCGGAAGCATCCTCCCCCCGCCCCCTTCCTCCTACGTGCTGCGGCGGGGGGCGGGAGCCGCCGCGGTACGAGGCCCATGCTCCCCCCCCCCCCCCCCCACGTAGACAGCGCTGTCCAGAAAGTACGAGCACGCGTCCAACTAACGAGACGCACACAAAGACGAGAGAGGATGACGCCCGGCTCGCCGGCGAGGCGCGGGGGCCCTACCAAACAGAAGAAAAATAACGCACACAAGCATGCGTAACTGGCGGCGAACGAGCCGCGCGATGGACGAACAGCACGACGTCCACCGCCGGACGGGTCCCACAAGCGGAGACACAGGAGGTGCCACCCCTCTGTGATGCGATCCCACCCCGCCCCCCGGGGCACGCGGGGCGCCGGAGCTCCAGGCCGGCGGGCGGAGATAAGCCACGGCCGCGCGAGAGGCCGCAGCATGGGCCCAAGCTGCCGGCGCACGGGTCACGCGCGCAAGGCCGACAGTGGATTAAGTAAACTGAGATGCCCTCCGCGCCCTTTTTCTCGAGGCCCCACCGGGGCGGCCTGGCGTCCCGGACGCCTGGGGGAAGGGCAGGATCCCTCCACTCATCGCCTCCGCCCCCGGCCTCCCTCCGGTCTTCCCTTCCCCTGGCCCTTTCTCTCTCTCTCTCTCTCTCTCTCTCTCTCCCTCCCCGCCCCCTATCTCCACACCACCCTGCCACCTCCCTGCCTCGCGATGGCCGACACAGATCCCGCCCTCCTTGCGCGCCAGCTGGCCCTTGTGGCCGCCCGATCGCCGCACGAGCCCGGCTGCCTGGAGTTCGTCCTGGTGTGTTGTCCCCCTTGCTTAGGCTCCCTCCCCCTGACCCGACCGACAGCTCTCCTCCCCCTCCCC